GTGCATACGTTGACCAACGAGAGAAAACATACTTGCCTTGTAATATACAGAACCTCTCCCGTTTCACTAATATTCACCACTTTATTTAGGAACGTGATGTCATGAAATTTTGATTCTTTAGCATTAGTAAAAATGAGATCAGGTAGCCATATATCGTCGATGATATGAGACGTTGGTGGCAGGAATGTACCTTCATGCCGAAGCCTTGGATCAGTCCATCTTTGCCGCAGGTGAAGAGTCAGTGAGTAATCCTAAAATTAAATGTACAACTGGTTTAACAGACTGTTCTTTAAGCAGGCAGTGAGGTGCACAATATGCAACCCTCTAGCAATACACACCTTTGTGATACCCCATTCCAGTGCCACCGAGTGGGCAGGAGGAAAGATCCCCTGGGCCCAAGCTTACCAGAGGGATCATAGAAATTGCAAGTAGCATTTTTCCTCAATATTTTTTTGAAAAATAATAATTACCTTCATGGGTCCACAATAATGGCATGCACCCCCTATGGGCCCATCCAGATTTACAGCCCCACCCCCACTGAAAAAATAAATTTTTTCCAATCTTTTTCGCGCTTCGCGCTCGTAAGTGGGGCCCACATCAACCCTTATGTCACAGTGAAAAGTTATATGGATATTGTTTGTGAAAGAGTAAGGTAATTTACAGTACTATTAATTACAATTACAAAAGAACTAATGATTATGCATGGAGTAGCTAACATATGAGTCAGCAGAAAAGTTGTATGAATAATGATGAGCTAGAGCAAGTGTCAACTGGTGATAAGTGCTCATAATTATGTTAAATTATGATCAAATTGGTAGAATAGGAATTATCCTGTGGACAGTTGCACAGGAGAGGTGATAGAAGGTGAGCTGAAAGGGTTTGGTGCAGTAGACATGGCCAAGCTGAATCACCTAAGGTTTAAGAAAGTGTGGTAGGTAATGGAGAGCACCACTGAAATGTGTGCACTATAAATACAAGAACAAAATTTAAAAGGATCCTTTGCCACCCGAGATGTGGAGCTTATGTGCTTAAGATGTTAGCCCGTAAAGGATGCTAGCCCAAGATGAGGGCATGATATATGCAGTAGTTTGTGATTTATGTTTGAAGGTGCTGTAGAAGTTGACGGTATTATGTGTAAAAGTAAATATTCAAAGGAAAACAAGCAGAGGTGGTGAAGTGGGCAAGTTTACGGAAACTAAGGCAATGCTTTGAACTTTTGTTTGAATACTATATATACTATATACTGTATTATTATATATAATTTAAATAGGCTTAATTAACAATTGGTACCAATTTGATTGGATACTTTTATTTGATGCGCATTTAGTAATTATCATTCATATTATTATAATTATTATTATTATTATTATTATTATTACTCAAATAAATGTGTTGTGAATGTTGATAATTTATTTTTGAACTTTCTTTGTTAACTTGTCGTTTTGTAGATCACCTAAACACATAGTCACAACACCCTAGACAACGTTTCCTAATCCACCTTGGGTGTGACACCTTACTACAGTTTCCCCTCTTGGTGGCCCTGTTCCAATACCAACCCATGTGCGTTTCTGTACCAATTCCAGTTCACGGTGCAGTATGTACCAATCAACCATAAAGTTTTGGAAAAGCAATCAAGAATACCGTCATCAACATGATGTTTGTGTACAGATGGCGTTGAGGGTTGGATTAATGAATATATTCCCACCGACAATTTTAACCTAAGAACTTCAAATTACCCTTCAGATGCTCTCTAACAACTAAATAGCATAAGCTCATGGCCTTATCTAAATACTTCATTAAATTTTCCAATTATATGAAAGAGAAAGGATATATGATAAGATACTTGTATAAAACGCTAAAGACGAGTTCCTATCATAATAAGGGCGTGCCGTATTTGACCGATTTCTGGTTTCACGAGAATTTTTCAAGACAAGTGATGTCATGTATTTAAAAGAAGAATTTCTTCTACTCAAATTCGAATTCTTTGTCCCTGTGGCCTAGTAAAGGCGACCGATTATAAGCAGGAGACACATATCATAGGTTATGATGCTATGGATGAAAAGTAATGTAATTGAGGATGGGTTTACTGATGGAATAAATGACGATTGGTATAATTAAATAAAAGAGTTGAGTATAATAACGAAAAGAAAAATTATGGAGTATAATAATATATGAAGGGGAGATACTAATTGAATGAATTAAGATGAGGCCATACAAACACATTTTATTAAAACACGAATGCTTACCATGTGTGATTCTCGTATACTATCAAAGCTTGCCACATATATATCTACGAGCACGTTGGTTGGTTGACCAGCTAAATATACAAATAAAATACACGAATGAGTTCCATAAACAGTATAGGGTGTAAAACCTAGTTTTATAGAGGTTACCAACAATTGTGTCTCAGTTTTTTTCATCCCAACGGAATTTAAATGGATCATTTTTTCTACATAATGTTACCGATACTAGTATGAATTCCATGGGATTTCGCTAAATATATATCTTCACATTAAACTTTCACTATCTGATCAAAAGCAAAACTGATAAAGTATGCGGATTATGAAATAGGACTGTAGTCATGTAAATTGATAATTGTATTTTGACGATTTTGGGAAGAGTACTATACAAGAGTAACACAAAATACATTACTTTGATGTATTCATGCATATTCACCTTTAATAATGTGAAAAAAGGGGTGGTTACGCCCCCTTTTTTCTCCAGTTTATAAATACTGTATTCAAATATCTGTATTTCATTAACCGTTCCCAAGCTATTCGTCAAATATGCTTGTTGTGTCTTAGAAAATTCAGTTCTACAACATATCAAAAGAATTTTTTCCTCCGGAGCCTGATTTAAATCTCTGACAAGACTAAAAACAAAACATGTGACATGCCTAAATATGGTCATGATGACATCACATCATGACCATATATAGGCACATCAAGACTATATATAGGCATACAGCAGTTTTTTTGTTTTTTTTTGTTTGTTTTTTTTTGCAAAATAAGGATGAATGCATGCTCACGATTCTTATGATGACGTAGACTCTGTAATGTCACTCTAATAACAAGAGTGTTCCTGACTGACTACTATCAAATTTTCATTAAGTACTGAATCGATTGGTTCAGGTGACAAGTATGAAATTACTTCTAAAGCACACATAGGTCTAACAGTGTTAATTGATATGAGTATACTAATATGTCGCAATCACTCACTGAATCCAAGATCTAATTCCAATAGTACTGACATGTTTTAAAAACACGGGTCCAATATGGCATAATTGCTTAAATGACCAGTTCTGACAAACCATTCATATGTGGGTACTGTATTTCAAATTTAGCGCTAGCGAGCAAAACTTCCAAAAATTGGCATCACGACCAATAAATTTTTGTAATTTTATAATAAAGGAGGAAGGACTGAAGAACAATTCCACCAAATATCAATCACTGATGAATCACTGAATAAAAATATAATAATCCTGTTCCGTTTTTTTGAGCCACCTAGGTAGAGGTTCTGGAACGCGACTGGCGATGGATGGATGACCCCTGAAAGTTTATGCACTTGCCTGTTTTTCCTTACTAGTTAAGTTGTTTATATATATATTATCATTATCATTATCATTATTATTATTATTATCATTATCATTATCATTATCATTATCATTATTATTATTATTATTATTATTATTATTATTAATACAATTATTGTTAAATACTTTGTAATATCAGACTACTGACTTATTTCATTAATTTATTGTGGGAAATTCAGCCTCTCATCAATCAAATAAATCAAACACTTTTAGATTTTTCCATCGTAATTCAATTTGATCCATATTTACTGTGCAGTCAAACACTATTCCATTAAGTCTAAATTGATAAATTCCGATATAATATTTTGTAAACAACGGCGTGCGCAATGGTGGAATGAAATGCTCAACATAACACACTTACTTCCAAAGTATGGCCTAATTTGCTTATCATAACCATTAATCAGACGCTGGAATGTCTCTATAGTCTCGTTTTCTTGCTTCAAGTTGCGTTCCACACTTGTATTTTCCACATCTCTTACGGTTTCTCTGTTGTTTCTTCGTAACGCAAAACTGTGAAATAAACAAACAAGTATCACATAGTGTTCATAGCATTAGCATATAACACTCGTTGCACAGTAAACATATATGTTCCATATATTTCTGCACATGCTAGTTTATATAGGCCATATTGGTATATCTGTGGTTTAAAGTTATGTTAATAACATCAAACCAAAAACATCATACAATGAATGGGTCGGCTTGGGAAAGAATAGGTGAAAGTGTGTGTTTTATAAATACAACATTATTCAAACAGTAGTTACCATCTATAAAATGTCGTTTTGGGATCTATGGAAACACATGTTTTAATATCTTCCAATTTATATTTTTTATTTGTATTTTGTATCCAGAATAATGTGGTGGTATTATATATGCCGGTATATGTTTCAAAATTAACACAATGGTTTAAAGTTTATGTATGTTGTTAAAGAAAGGTTAATTAAAGAAACTAAAAACTCACTGAACCAACAGCTGGTTGTCTACAAAGAATAAATGCGTTTGACGATCAACGCTATCGTTACTCTAACTCGTACTTTAGAGTTGACGAACACAGTATATGCTCGTTGAATTTTATTCATTGATTTATGTGCTGCCTTTGATAGGTCTACAATTCAACCGAACTTATTAATCAGTGGCGGATTCAAGGGGCCCAACCGCCCCCTGGATTTTTCAATCTTATAACAAAATGGAGAAAAAAGAAGAAAATATATTTAAATTTAAGTCTGAGATATCATTTAAGGCCATCTAGAGGTGCCACAATCATATATTGTGGGGCTGAGGTAGTAGTCTAGACCATCCGTCTGTGATAGCTTCTCTCTGGGCCCTCTATTTCGAATTCCTGGATCCGCCACTGTTAATGTCAATCAATCAATCAATCAATCGATCGATCGATCGATCGATCCATTGGTTTAGCTTGTTTGCAATTGATCGGATACGTGCTGTGCAAGTGTAAAACCGGGCACTCACTGCTTCGTACGACCGTCGCACGACGAATCCAACTCCCCTCCCTGTGAGCGATAGACGACGCGACGCCGTCTGCTGATTGTCGGTAGCAGTCTGAACGGATCGTCATTAAAAACGATCAGTTGCGCGTGCGTCGTGGCGTTGCGTTCTTCATAGAATCGCGTCGGCTGACGACCGTCGTCCGCTGTGAGTGCCATGCTTAAGTGTAGTTCGTTTCACTAAGTTTTATAGAGATCAAAATACGCACTCATATCCCCGTCCCTACAAGCCAGGATTGTGTCTAATCGGGTTTAGGTTGAATTTGGTGGGGTCTTAAATCTTCGTCAGGTTCTTTTTTTGCTACATTTTGATTAGTAATAATTATTCGTGCATTATCTACTAATATGCCTATTAGTCAATACAATTGCAGGCATTTAAAAACCATATCCAAATGTTTTTGCATATTAAGACCTACCGTATCTATTTGTTTACTTATACGATTAAATATACGTGGATCCACACACACACACACACACACACGCACCCCCACACACACCCACATACACACACACCCACCCACACACACACACATAGGCCTATATATATATATATACATGTATAAATATATGTATATATATAGGCCTATATATATTGATATATAAAAATAAACATACTGCCCGGCAAATTACAATAAAATGCTGATTAGAGCGGAAATTAAACCAGGCACCTTTCGGAGCACCAACCACTCTAACGTTATGGCAAACTAAGTACACCACCTGTGTTGCCAGTACGCGGAAGCCGACCATGATATCTCTCGTCTTGTCATATTCTTACGACAAATATTCATAGTATAGTAAGCAATCAATGAGTTCGAAGGATATGGAATTAGGATATTAATATGCTTTGGTAATTGTCATGATAATTGTATGTGCAAATAACGGTTATCATGGATACGGTTATAATTAATAAGACTCATTCACGAATCGTACATACAGTATGATAAAACAATTCTATCAATGCACTTTTAATCTGAAATGTTGAAGAATAATACTTTAAGCATTCACACGTACTGTACATGTTATAGTATGCGGGCAATAAAAGCCTACATTCTAACGATCAGGGTCGGGTGATGATAGGCCTACGATTCACGCAAGGTTAGGCGATGGATTACAGCCCATGGCGGATAGAAAAGCTTAGGATGTTTTAGTTTATGTCTATCGGCGGATGGATGAATGAGGGCTCGGAGTTAATTATGATGTCACATTGATGTGGAACTGGTATTTTAAATTTATGTAGAATCAGTAACAGAAAGTTTAGGAATAGATACATCTAAGGTAAATAACGTTGATGGTCTAATTGTGAAGACGTTGGTAAAATGTATATATTACGATTTCAGATCAATGATTGCTTAGATCATCAAAACTGAGCATATTCTATATTTTATATACATTGGCATATAGGCCTACATCTGAAAGTTGAACTTACCTTGGATAGAACACGAGTGCAAAACAGATGAAACCGTTAATATGCATGTCGTCTGCAACTCGAGTAGTTGACCAGAATGCCCATATAATGCTGCGTCAGTTCAACAATGAGTTGCTACACAACGAAAAATAAGAATTACATCTACATTACAACCAGATCATCAATTCTTGTAGCAATATGTCAACTATATTCTTTTGACAATTTGAAGACATGTATCCATCAGGTAGAACGACTCGACGCACAAATGGTTGAGTAAGTGCGGGTAATGAGGCGTGCTATAGCCCAGTTTCATGTTCCCGTGTTTAATAGACGAGTACAAAATATCGCGTCGATAATCATGTAATAAGAAACCTATATTAATTGCTTTTTGGGCGGCAAAGTGCCATCGTGATATTATTACAGTATTTGGTGGTAGTTTGCCTGCCGTAAGTTCAAAACCTGTATGTATGCGCGCGTTGAAGGTACGTGTCCAAATGTTTTACGTAAATCGTGTGCATTTTTTATAGTCTACGTACCGGTACCTGCGCGTTTTATAAGACCTATAATATTAGATGCCTCGATTGATAAAGTGTAGCCTATACCTCATTAATCATGTTACATAGCGAGATAGTTGGCGACAAGCACGTTGTCATGATTACTGTACCGAACCAATCATAAGCTTATATTTGCATAGGCCCTATAAATCTCATACATTACATCACTAGATTGGCACTGTTCTAGTGTTTATTTTCAAAAAGAAAAACATATTTTACTGACTAAAAATAATATTGATGATGATGGTGATGTTGATAATAATAAGATGAGCATGAAGGTAGCAACTGCGATGAGGAGGTTGAGGATGACGTTGATGATGAGGATGCGGATGGTGATTAGAATAGAGATGATGATAATGAAACGACAACGATAACGCACACAATAATAATAGTAATAATAATAATAATATAATAATAATAATAATAATAATAATAATAACAATAATAACAAGTAATAATAATATGATGCAGATAAGTATGATGATGATAATAATAATAATAATAATAACAATAATAACAATAATAATAATAAATAAATAAATAATAATAATAATATTATTATTATTATTAATATTACTATCATTATCAATACAGTAACACATATATCAGATAATGCTTGATACAAGATAGAAATAGGCTTATGTTAGAAATTATTGAATATTATAATAACATGTCCCATGCAAAACGCCGATGGGACTGAAATAGAGCTAATTCGATGCTTCACCACCTTCACTAACCCCGTCGTAACCTTATATCACTAATAAAATGCAAACAGATACGCCCCGTTGATCACACACGGGATTAGTAATATAAAAACATACATCCCGAATAAAATAGATGTAGGAACGGGAGGAGGGGAGACAATAACCTTTGTATATGCATATTTTGTTCGGATATTTTATTTCAAAATAATAATATTCGTTAAATGAAACTATTGATTAGAAAGGAGAGAGTATCTTTTGTCTGATATGGTAAGTGAATCAGAATTATTCCGTAACCTGATATTTGACATTTCGCCACTAATTGCTGACTGACAAATTTTAACATTGAATTATTTATGCCTTGCATTATTTATCAAACTATTGTCATATCATAAAATATGGAATGAGCACGCTTTCTTCCAATCATCGGACAAAATTCGACAAACATGCTTCAATATATGCACGTACATAGTACACCATTAAACAGAACATTAATAGCCTGTAGATGCCTGCCATATAGATCGCCATTGTACGCACTAGCTCGATATGATTGATATTATAAATAACAAAGAATTAAAACATGAAAATATGTTTTACTGATCTTGAGAATGGCAAGCATTCAGGGCGCCACGCGTTGGTATTCGAATGCAATACCTGTACATAAACGTGTTTGTTGATCATTGGAATTACCTACGCTTGACAATGAGTGAGATAATCACATCAATTAAAGTAATAGGTATATTGTTATATGACTCATTAATCTTTTTTAATAAAATGTAATGACAGGCAAAGCGTTGTTAGTATAATGTTTATATTCCCAGTGGTAAAGGTTATGACTGATTCTCTGATATTACATGATCTCTTTTCCAACAAACCTATAGTCATAAAATACAATCTGTTTATAGTACGTTCCCAAAATGCTTGCAAGAGAAATCTCGCAAGTGATTCGAGTGGTAATCGAACCCACGACCTCCAGATAACTAGCTAACTGGTGTCTTAACCACTCGACCACCGAGATTGCACTTGGTGGCTAGTGATGAATTCGTTCACCCATAGAGAAAATAGAACAGTTCTGTTCTATTTTCTCTATGGTTCACCTAAGTAGTGGGTACTGCAATGCTATTCCGATGGTGTTATATACATATAGGCCTATCTGCATAGGCTATCTAATATGAATCAAGTAGCTGCGTAGGAAGTGTGACAAGAAAAAAACACAGTCAAATAGGTTGTAATCTGCCTTAGTGAGATTTATAAACACAACATGTTTTTTGAGCATAGCACATCATCGGGTAGGCCTATATGATGATGGGATATGGTCATGTCCCACCATCAAAACACAAAACATTCAACCAATCAGCAACCTCCAAATAATGTACATAACTTTGGTAGTTGACACTTGTACAGGCAATATCTCCCTTTGTTAACTACCATCTCGTGTGAGGAAATAAAATTATGAATTATAACCGTACTGAGATAATCATTAGTCAACAAAAAAAAAAATCAGCAATAGACACATAGAAATAGGACCCAACCCCGGGAAACACCCAAAACCAAGTTAAACCACTATGCGGAATCAATCAAACTGACTACCACACTGAAACCACACCGATGCTAAAACGAAACATGGTTCAACAGTGAAACGATCCAATTATCTGTATTCTTTTAAAAACACATAATTATTAATAATTATTTAGACTGACCAAAGATAAATTCAAAGATACACACGATTATGGTCAATGACACCATGTATGATCAACCAATATATCGGTCATCAAGTCTGTGGACGCCGTTTGCTATCCAACAGCGAGTTGGCGGATTTATCGCGATACAGTTAAATAGAATGTTTCACATTCAAACTTACAGCAGTTAACTCACCAATCAACTTGCTCTACATTTCATGTGAACGCCACTTTTAAGCACAGTCATGAAATTTCTAAGAAGGTGCATAGTTATAGCGTAGAATTATTAAGGTGTAGCAGGAAAAGTACAGTATTGATTGTGTGTCATAGAAGTACAAGCTCAATCATTCAATCTCTTTGGCATACGTCTTTTGCATAATCAATGCATATGCCTTTACGAATATACCTGTAGGGACATAAGCTGTTTGGTTAAGGTTTCGATAGTTCTTAAAAAGAACATAAGGGAATGCTATAATACCTGCCTAACCTTTGTAACTATCATCATTATTGTATGAGTCTACTTTCCTGACTGAATAAATTACGCCGAGCATGATAATTTCATTTCGTTCATTTCAACTTTTATTTCAGACTGTCATCCATAGAAATAAGAAAATACAATTAAGGAAGAAATTAAACACAAACAAAAGATTCAGTATCAAATACATTGGCAGAACATGCTGTACATTACAATTACCTAAAATAACATTCGCTCCCCAGGCTGTGTACAGTTTTGATTCGTTTAGCATGTGCTCGCTAATCTGTGAGTACGTGCTAAGTTTGAACTCTACACATAATATGTAGAAAGGACATTGACAGATATAATGTGACTATGCTCTTATGTAAAAAATACATTATGGATAGTTGATCCTTTTAATTGTAATATTTGTTTAGAATATCATTGATTGATACAAAAACACAGTTAATACTTGGTCAGTTTACGATCTGTGATTTTAGTCGCCTATAAACGAGGTCTACCTTGAGGGTTTTTCATGCACAGTGTACATTTGTACACAATTGTTTATTTATGGAACAATCTATATCAAATACATCTATGCTCTTGTAATACAAACAGAAATCGATTACTGTATTCAGTATCATGGAGAAATTCGCAATATCAACGACGAGATCATCGAGAGCGCGATGACTAAAATAAGAATGCTGACGTCAACTGAATTTGGAAGATGATTGGTCAGAAGTTGATTTGTTCTCAAGATTGGCAAATTGACGTGTATCAGTATCACAATGTCATTAAATTTGGTAAGAACGTTGGTGGCACAAATATATCTAAGATTATATATATATATATATATATATATATATATATATATATATATATATATGATGAAAACCGCCACTAACAGGTTCATATATACATATATAAGTTATACCATTTGTCAAAATAGGCTATATATACCTTCAAGATGGGTACAATTTCGTTATTATACATAGGTTTATATATCAAAAGATTTAGGACAGTATGATGATATAACATGGAGAGGATGTAAGCTTGACCATGTTGCGAATTAGATTACGTACTATCTCATTATATTGATTTAGTTTATTGGTGGCTTTACTGTCTATTTGCCATACAATTCTTTAAATCAAAAGGTCCACTGATTAATCTCAGATAAGATAGTATAATACATACTCCGATCCAAGTATCGAAATGCACGTCATCGTGTCGGGATTCAATGTTTCGACATTAATTATGTCATCATCTGGAATATTCTTTAATTACTTCAAAAACAGACTTGTACTGTTACAAGGTCCATCTAATTACCTATTATTTAAGGTTGCCTACATGTTTCCCTGTGTTTTCCCTCAAACCGAGATTCAAACTCAGGTCTTTTCTTTGATATGCAAACTCCAAGTAACTTGATGAATGCAATAAAATAGGCATAATACATTAATGCTAATAGGCCTATTGATAATAATAATACCAACGACAATGATGATGTTAATGATCTACCGAAATGATAATGATGATGACGATAATGATATTAATGATGATATAGAAGAATAGTACTAAATTATTCATAATAATTCGCCTACTCCGCACCACAATAATTTTTGTCGTCGCTTTTACAATGAATTCGTAAGTTTAATTAGCATGTAGCGTGTTCAAACACACCATAAAATTCAATTGCATTAAGTGGTTTTTCTAATTACAAAAATAATTCTATCAGCACACAATACGTATC